AAGGCCAAAGCATTACTTAAAGCTCTCTGCCAAATTCCATTGGCTGTGTCAGGACGGATGAGCTCGGTACAGCTGAGGTTCAGTTCAGTCTGTCAGCATCCACATTCAACAGTGATTCTCGGCTGACCAAATGCACTAGGTGATTACAGTTACCCTCTATCCTTATGCTAGCATTTATTCACTTTTTACCATCAAGCCCTACACAAATGCTCTGTATATATCTTGCCTTTTACAAGTATTAGGAAAGCTTAAAAGCCACAGCTTCAACAATGATAATTGCATACTATAAAAATTAAATCCCATTAAAACCATGATTCAGAAAATTTGAGGCAAATAAAGTTCTACCAATATAATATAATCAAACAAATTCTTGGCTCTTCCCCCTAAAACAACCAAGGGCTTTATTCACTTGCCAGCACTCCTGGGTCAGTCACAGACTGTGGCTGAGATTCAGCATCTCCAGACACTTCCCACCCTGTCCTCCCGCTGTTCAAGAGACAGCAAACACAAATACCAACAGAAAAGTTACCAGTAGAACACCTTCCAATGTTCTACTTCCATTTTTAATGATCCAAGATTGTTATCACACATACAAAAGACCAACAAAATGGCCTCCCAGTACTTCCCGACCCCCTCCACAGGATAAAGGCCTGCTAGGCATGAGAATATACCTCTTGATGTGTGAAAATGTAAAGGAAACAGTTTCTGACATGACTGAGGTCCTGGGAACTGTCTTATGTGTTGCAGAACAGCTTTCCTAGAAGCCCAGACTAACCGGTGAGACCAGTAAGCAACAGGAACACTGGAACACGGACAGCACACTCTACAGTTAACAGAGATGTGTGTGTATCTCACAGACAACACTTTTCACTGTTTCTTAAAATCTGAAGAGCTAATGAGTTCAATGGATCTGTATTTTCATTTCTTTCGATAGTACTGTAAACCAAAGGAGATTTTTAAGTAACTTACAAGCATTATTATTATGTTACTTTCGTGAAGAACAGTTCGATAGCATAAGCTCCAAGGTTTTTTTTTTTTCCCCTAAAAATTTGGACAATAGAAATAATTGGACAATAAGAAAAATCTAGTTTGTCATCTGGCATCCAAAAATTCAATGAGTGGCTCCCTCTCCTGGAAAAAAACTGAAAGGTGAGTTGGTCTTTTAAGTTCTAAGCACTAGCTCCTTAAAAACACTTCTTAAAACTACAGGAAGCAAAAGTATACTTTGGTAAGGAAGCAGCTGTGACTTTGCTATCAGCACCAATATCTCAATACTAGCAAGAAGGCTGGCTTCACAGAAACTGTACCTACTAAATGGATAGTCTGCACAGCTAACAGCAATGCACTTCATGATCTGAGTCACCCTATAAACAGTCCTGGAGTACCAATGTGGATCTACTTCCCAACTTACTGATTCATGCCATTAACAACTCTCAATCACACCACTCATAGTTCCAAACTCACTACCAAAGAGCAAATGTTTCTGTAAGGGAAGCAGCTACTCCAGGATCTTAGGTCAAACTTAAACCACTGGGAAAAAAGAAAAAAAGCTACTATCACACTGGTTAAAAACTCCAAAAAGTATCCTTTACAAGTATGTAACATAATGAAGTATTATTACTATCCCTGAAAACTGGGCTGTCTAAATTGAAGATGCAAATTTACAAGAGCCACAATTTAGCACACATTTCCTCACATGCTACATTTATCTTGCACTCTAGGTAATCTAATCATCCAACCAGAGCGATGTGTCATTAGGTTTCAAATAAAGTGAGGAGAATGTTACCTTTTGCCATATCATCACCAAAGATGAAAATAAGCAGTGTGGGGAATTTAGTCAGGAAACAAGACACAAAAACACTTGACTATCTCAACTGCAAAACAAGCTGAAACTGCCAAGGCTGTCCAGGCACAAAAGCTCCCTGAAGAGGCAGCTCTGCTGTGTGGAAATTACATATCAAAGTTTCTCAAGTTCAGATGCCAATGCTTATAAAGAAGTAAACCCAATGTTTCTGACATATTAATCTTAAAATCAGTTGTTCCTAATACATCTCTACTCAGAATCAACCTCATAAAAATTGTTCAAAAGGCACTCAGTATTTTAAAAGCAAAAAGTGTAAACACCTTAAGTTCAGTGCTAAATTTTGGCACTCCAGAGAATTTGACTATCAAGTCAGTCAAGACACCACCAAGCTCTCACCAGGGACCAACCTTGCTGATAGCTGGGGGAGGGGGGGGGGGTGGGGGTTGTCATGCTGCGGGATCCAACTTCTGGAGACTAGTCTTGAAGCTAATGAATAAAATAATTCTCCAAGGTAAGCTTAACCTTTTACACAGTTTGCTATCGATTAGAGATATAACTGTTTCTTAAACAACCTGAACTTTAAAACTGACCCATCATGTATATCCTAACGGCACCAAATTTTACTAATAAGCACATTAGAACTTCATGTGACCAAATATGCCTGTTAAGATTACGTGACTGAGCTAATAAAGGCTGATTTCTCTCGACTAAGATGTAGAAAACTTAAAAAAAAAAAAAAAACGGTAAATACAGTACATTCCTATTCGTAGTTTAATCAACAACAAAAACACGGTCCAAACCCTCTAGCCATTAGTGACATTCTTAGCGGAAAAGGGTGTGAACTATACAATCAATTACTTGGGGGTAATTTAAAATCACTTTCCCCAGTACTTGACATACAGAACTGGTAACTTTTTCTGCAGTCAAGAGGGATCACACTCCTCTTCTGCAATCACTGCCCAAGGGCACACAGCACTTTAGCCGGCGGGGGCGGGGTGTGTAGAAACACAAATTACTCCAAAGATAAACGGGATTTTTCTCTTATCTTTTTCCTTCTTGCTGCCACCAGACTCCATTCTTATCCTCAAAGTCAGAAGAGAGCAAATAAGTCTTGTTGGGCTGGAGGCCAGAACCTCCTCTCTTCTCCTGGCTCCTAGTTCCGACCTAAACACTTTAATCCCTTCCTTAGCCGGATTACCATATGACTAGCGCAGATCACCGGATCAGGGTGCAAACGTCCGTCTTGGCCTTTAGCCTTCTCAGCCCAAATCTAACACTAACTTTTCCCCATTTCCCAGCTTCTAATTCCGCGCAAAGCACCACATTAGCCCCCTTCACTTACCCACCATCCCACTCTGTGATCTCATCGTCCCCACCTGGTCCCAGAGTAGCTGAGTTACTATCAGGGGGATGAGCTAAGACATAAAACAAAGACAGACTCGGGGAAGTTAGCTTAGCTCCGAGGGACAGCGAGGGAAGGACGACCGTGGTGCCCTAGCCCTCGGAAAGGGCAGCGAGGGGCACAAGGGCTCGCCAGCGCGCTGGAACTGGCATCCAGACGGGGGACCAGAGCAGGAGGGCGGAAGCAAAGTCGCGGAGAGGCATTTTGGGGAGAGGTGGGGACGCACTCCCTCTGGCGTCGGGAGAGTCCCCGCGCCCAGGTAGCGGTGACGGCCCCAGGCCCGCGCCTACCTGTAGCACCAGCGGCTCGGGGTTGAAGGCCAGGGTGAGCAGCAGCTGCATGCGCTCCGAGTCCTTGAGGTTGCGCAGCAGGAAGCTGCCCGAGTCCTTGGTCTCGGCGTAGCGGCGCACCAGGCGATCGAGCAGGCGCTGCGAGGGGCAGT